TGTGTATATCGAATGATATATTAGCAGAAACATAAAGCTAGAATAAAACTTGCGCGGTCTTGACCAATTAATATATTCAAAGATGGAAATTCCAGTGCCCTTTATTTGTGTTTTGGTAATCGCAAAAAAAGCAACACACTAGAAAGCGCATGGTAAGATTATGAAACTGCACCTGAAAACCTTTGAGGTCCGCTTTTGCTAGTAGCTTTTTGCAAGCGTCAATTTCGTCATAGCTATTAACATACATCCAGAACCAAATTTTTTTTGAAGTTATGCTAATATCGAAAATGTAAGACTAAATACATGAATCAAGTACTGTTTAAGCTACCTGCTCTTTGTAGTCTCGGGGGCTAAAATTTTGAACCGGGTTAAAAATTCATTGAAAGGCTTTCGAGTAGGATACCCAGCGCAACTAATCCTAATGGCTTCCATGACTCCCTGCGATCAGATACAGGAAGTTCCACAACATCATAAGAAAGCTTAATAATTTAATACAGTTGCAAAATTCAAAAGTTCTCTGAAACATTAGAAGCTTACCCCACACCTAAGTTGATGCAAAATATTACTGTTCTCAAATATTTCTGGCTTAAGAAGGTTATTCGGTTTAACACAACGTATGTAGTGTGGCTCCGTGCTACTCAAACTCTCGAGCAAAGATTGCAGTTGTTGCTGTATTTAGTGCGTGGTGAGAACCAAAGTAGAGATTATAAGCAGAATCAGGTGTAACTTAATATTAGTTCAGACCTTAAACTGAGAACCTATTGATGAGAATTTTGATGTTTTCGAAGATTCCTCTGGCAATGGTGGAAATAATGATGAGACAAAGGAACACTCTGAAGAGCTCAGGAGAGCTTGATGTTCTCCAACAACATAATCTTTGTTCTTGTCCAAAAACAGTTCTGTCTGATAAGTGACCTGGAATTAAACAAGAATACAGTCATTGGAGCCAGGTAATTTACATCAAGACAAGCATTTAATTAAGCAAAGAGTTCGGGTTGTGAGGATCACTAACATCACCAGCATAATGGCAAATTGTAAAGTCTGTTTGAGCCAGTTTTGGCTTGCCAAAACGTTTGTGGTCTTTAAAAGTCTGGTACAGCTTTTGTGCGAATGTATCGTGTGTTGATCTTGGAAACATGCTGTAGAAGCAAACAGAGTCACAATTATTTTTCTCTGAAGACAAAGAGTGAAGCAAGGAACGAACAATATCTTTAAACATTACCAAGCCTCGTCTAGAAGGGCAATGATACCACCAGGTTTCTGACATGAAAAGACCACAAATAAGAGACTCACAACCATATATTAACTTAATGTGTGATGAACATAAGTTCCAACATTGTACATTGTGCTCTCCTAACCTTTTCAATAAGATCAAGGACATCCTGATTATCAATGAACTCTATGTAACTCCAGTCAATCTCTTCTTTAGTATATTCTTCTTGCTCCATCTTGAACACATGCTGTAGGGAAGAGGAAAGTATGAATGAATATTGGGTCAGCCGAGAAAACAAAAAATCTAGTGAAAGTATCCAACCTGGTTAAAATGTTGTTGCAGCTTCTCGTTTGTCAAATTTATACAAAATTGTTCGAAACTGCAAATCGACCGTGAAAATGAGAAGACTATGTTGGAATTAACAAAATAATTATAATCAAACAGGCAAACTACGAAACTGCAAGGAACGGTCAAAAATAAGAATAACTATATGTTCCAAATTACAAGAAAGCTCTTAGCTAAGCAACTGAAAGATAAGGAACTCGACAGCAATTTAACAAAGCGTAAGCTCAATGTTAAAAGAAGCTAAATCAGAGAGCATAAATGTATGTAAAGATTCAATTATCAGTTCCAGAGATTTAACATGTCAGTGAATACAAAAGCATACCGGTTAAGCACCTGTTTGTCTTGAAACTCTCGAATCCATAAATATCTAGAACTCCTATAATATGTTTTGAACTTGGATCCTGGCCGATGGAATTATTGATCTTGGCCACGAGCCTGTAAGAAATCAAATTGAAACATGTTACATAGAAACCCCAAGAATATAATAAAACCTTAAGTAAAATTTAGTTATAGTTAACCTACCAATCAAATAGTTTAGAATATACAATCTTGGCTAGTGCATCTCTTCCCAAAGCTGCACTATCAGGATCAAGCGACTTTGTAATGCTTTCATCACGAGTCACCATGACCCTTTTGCACAAGGAATCTTCTAAAGCTTTTTCATCACACCTGCAACAATGAGAAAAGTTGAGGGTCTAACTCTGGCTGACCATACAACAGTTATTCCGAGAAAACACAGTAGTGGAGTATTTACATGAAAAGTTCTGCTGCCACTTTTAGATGATACCGTGATTTTTCGTCCTTAGGTTCTGAAGCTTCTGATTCTTCACCCTTTGCAAACTCGATGTTCCCTAGATGAAGGATTGCAGCCACTACTCGGAAGATTGCCTCCTACGGTAGTAGAATGTAAGAAGAGTTGTTCCCATGACTCAGCATGTAAAAATAACTGAAATAAAGTACCTGTTCGTCCGAATCGATCCCAACAACTTCCATAGCTTTCCTTGTAGCTAGGTATTCCTTGGAGTCATCAAGCTCATCCAAAGCATAACAATTAGACTGATTAAGATAGCGAAATGTGCTTGGTTTTCCTAACTTGTACCTCTCAGTTTCCTGAAACCTCATGAAAACTCTGTTTAGTCAACGTGAGTCTGATGTAAGGTCCGGCCTGGGACATATATGATCTCCAAGATTTCGAGCTAACACTTACCTGTTCTGGTGCAGCACAAAGCATGTAAAAGCAATGATAGTTTCTTTCAGGGTCAGAGACTTGACAAACCCGTGACCTCTCTAGCAAATATGTCCTAATAGCAGCTCCCGAGATTCTTCCCCTATGATCGAACTGAATCTCCACAAATTTACCAAAACGACTGCAAAATGGAATTTGCGCAAGTATCTTAAATTGGGTTCAAGAAAATAGACAAATCAACAAACGTGAGAATCCTCTCCTCTACCTTGAATTATTGTTTCTAACGGTTTTGGCATTGCCAAAAGCTTCTAAAACTGGATTGGACTGCAGAACAAGAAAGTCAATCAGAGGAAAGTATGACCAGAGATATTACTGGAGGAAATTCACTAAAGTCTATCTTTTGCAAGAATGTAGCCTTGTACTTTCGGAAATTGATTACCTCTAAAACTTGCTGCTCCACGGATCGTCCTTCACTCTCAGCTCTTCCGCCCATGTAGGCAAGATATCGCATGAGCATCTTTGTGCTCTCTGTCTTCCCAGCACCGCTTTCCCCACTCACCAAGATGGCCTGACTCACTCCCTCGTTGATCATTTTCCTAAATGTTATATTTTTTGGTAATTGTGAGGCACAAAAACAATCAATAGTGCCAACCATAATACAAGCTAATTAACACAACAGAAGAGTTACCTGTACGCAGAATCTGCAACGGCAAAAGGATGTGGACTCAACTCACCAAAAGCTGTACCCTTATACTGTTTCATTGTATCACTTCCATAAAGGTGAGGCAATCTCTTAAAGGGATTCACAGCTATCAATATATTTCCTGTGTACGTCTGGATTTATAATGAAAAATATTAGCATGCAGAAACTGTGTAGACATTCTTACATCACGGGATATAATAGCTCAAAGCTGGAGCTTACATATATCTCATTTGCATTATATCGGCATTTAAGGTTGAGAAGAACCCCTGGTTCATGCAAATATGCAAGCTTTGTCATGTCGTCCACCCCAAGTTCAGGGAACTCGGGGTCCTTTGGGTAGACAGAATTTACCTTTGCCACAACCTAAGAAACAAATGCATCAGAAAGTGCTGTTTTTTTTCTTCTCAATGCTCACCTCATAATCAAATCTCATCCTAATCTTAGATAAAGCATGATCATTGAAGGAATCGGTTCCATGATCAAAACGAACTTCTCCGGGAGAATGGTACAAAGATAGAAAAAAAAACCAAATTTTTTCCTCAAATAACAAATGTCTCCATATCAAGAAATCATTTACTCCTTCAGCTTAACAAGATTTAAACTTTCTTACCGTCTTTCCGGAGCAGTTAACTGTGATTTCTTCAGTGTTAACGTCTTCAACTTCCCCATCTATCCAAGCATCATCTGGATCCTCCACCCAGACATGAGACCCTACAGTTACTTTGGCTGAAGCAGCCTGCACATAACTCACATCATAACTACACAAACTAAACAGCTAATCCGAGAAATAAAATTAAAATCGAAGAAGAGAAACAACAAACAGAGATGATGAATTTTTTCTCCAAAAATATATCCTTTTTTTTTTTCCTTTCTCTCATCAATAGAGAGAAGAAGGAAGGTTGGTCAGAGCTCTTCTTCATTGTTTAGTAGATTCATTTATCCAATCAAAAACGGAAATTTTTTAAAAACAACGAGATAAAGCACCATTTTTTACACATTTAAAAATCGACATCACACAACAGAGGGAAGCCACAATGGGATTAAAGAAGAGAAAGCTCGTACCATTATTACGATGGAATCTGGTCACAATTTATCAACAGAGAATTTTGAAATACCAATCAACATGGATCCATCACGAAATTCAAAACGAACATTTCCCTTTCACGTGACGATTGCACATGGACCTTTTAAAACCCTTGAGTTTTTTTTTTTTTTTTGGCCCCCTTTGAAGAAAATGCCCAGAACACATAGAGGTTGTTTCAGCTACAGATGGGATAAATTTCTCTTGCTCTCTCCTGGTTTTTTTCTTTTCGTCTTTCCCCCCCTTACCTCGGACGTTGGAATTTGGAAAACGAACGGAGAAACAATCTCAAAACATTCTAATTCCAAAATTACCCTTTTCATTAAACCGATCCGGTTTACTTCAACGGGTCATATTTAGAAAAGAGGTTAATGGGCCAATTGTTTTCCTAATGGGCTAAGACTTATGATTTTTTTCATTTAATTCAAAACTTAAATAATTGTACGGTCATTTGTTTCTTCTGAAACCCCCTTTAGTCCTTTACGCCTCCGTCTTCGACCTCCTTGCTCCGCCTCCAATGGCGGGTTTCAGTTCTCTAATTCCTAGAACGTCTCTCAAACGCGCTGTTAGTATAGCAACCGGAAACCTAACGGCGCCGGTAGCTTCTACTGTGGCAGTACGAAATCTCCTAACTGGAGGGGGATGCGACGAACTTTATGGTTTGTATTGCTGTTAAAGTCGTTTACTTAGTTCAATCCGGAAGAATATTATAGCACTTTGTTTTTTTTTGGTTAATCACTTGAGATATCTGAGTTCGAGTTTGGAGCTGATTGCTGTTAAGAAAAATTGTCATTTAGGTAGTCAAGTTCTCATCTCTGTAGAGCTCCCAAGGGTCTAGATTTGAAGACTGTTCTTATTAAGTTCTTGTATCCTTTTTCAATTTGTAACTTATTGTAGGTGAGCCAGGAATGCTTTCTCATTCCAGTGGAATAAGGTAAATGCTAGATTTTGGATCAATTAGCATCATTTTGTTCACTAATTTTCTTAATGATTCGGCTTTTTGTATCACAATTTTACAAAATCATGGATGCAAAATCCCATTTTTTTCGAGCCGCACAGTAGTAGATGTTGGCTTATTGACTCTGATGTTTTTCCATACTTCTCCAGAAAGCACAACACCATTGGTATTCATGGCGCACTAACTGGCCCATTTCATCATCTTCTCAGGGTAAGTTTTCATTTGTGAAATGTTTTTCGTCTTAAACTTCTAAAACATTGCTTAGCAATCTTAACAGTAAAACGAATGTCAGGTACTGATTATGATCACTGAAGCACTTTTTTAAAAGATTCCCTTTCTATACATCTCATTGTGTGAGAAATTCTCTTTCTCAGGTCAACCAGAAAAACAAGCCCGCCTTTTTAAGGGTCCAATCAATGAGTTATCAGTTTGTGGCCGATTCTAATGCATCTCCTAGACGTATTGTGAAAACTGAGGTACAAAAGAATACACTGAGGTTTGGCTTTGTGTTTTGCTCTCTTAGTCTTAGCGTGAGCTCAATTAAGTTTCTCTTTCAGAAAGATCTTACACATCTTTAGCAAAAATTTAAATTTTCATTCAGTGGCCTGTAGCTCTCAGTAGTCTTGTATAGTCATATTCATAACTGGTAGTTTAAATTTTCATTCAGTGGCCTGTAGCTCTCTGTAGTTTTGTATAGTCATATTTACAACTGGTAGTTTAAATTTTCATTTAGTGGCCAGTAGCTCTCATGTATTTTCATCATATATTATTGTCACCAATAAGATCCTTGGGATGCTTAGTTTTCATCTTGTTGTAGGATGAGCAAGATGTTTCTAAATCATCAAAGAAGGAAAGCGCTGATACCCCTAGAAAACATCAAATTGGGGAGAACATACCCAAGAAGGATAAAATAAAGTTTCTTGTAAACTCTGTAAGCAGAAATTTTAAATTCATTAAGCTGATCCGTTTTGCTTTTTTATGGCTTTTCGATGATGAGAATTCCCATATTCGTATAAACCCCCTTTTTGCTCTTATTGTTATTCCTTATTCATTTGCTCATCTGTCCAAATTTGATGTGAATGCAGCTTCTTGATATAGAAGATAATAAAGAGGCTGTTTATGGAGCTTTGGATGCTTGGGTTGCTTGGGAACGCAATTTCCCCATTGCTTCCCTCAAAAGAGTAATAGCTATTCTTGAAAAGGAACATCAATGGCATCGAATGATCCAGGTATCTTTCACCTGAATGTTCTATCTCTTTTCTTCTCTTAACTGGGAGTCATGAACCATGAATAATCAAACACCCAAGAACATACATCTAAATTCTAATAGTAACTGAAAAAGTAGAACAGAATCTTGGAGAGGTTTTAATTCCATTTCCCCTGTTTAATCGTTGTAGGTGATAAAGTGGATCCTAAGTAAGGGACAAGGGAACACGATGGGAACGTACGGTCAGTTGATACGGGCATTAGATAAGGATCGTAGAGCAGAAGAGGCGCATGTTATCTGGCGAAAGAAAATTGGGAATGATCTGCATTCGGTGCCTTGGCAATTATGCTTACAAATGATGCGCATATATTTCCGGAACAATATGTTACAGGAACTTGTTAAGGTTCATTATGTTTCCCTTCGTCTCATCACTGACTGAACACTAAATAGAAAATATTGCTCATTGATACTTTACTGAACTAGTAAGTTATGGCATAGCTTAATTTCATGCTGACTTCAAACTCGTGTTTATGTGTTTATGGGTTATGAAGCTATTTAAGGATCTGGAGAGTTATGACCGTAAGCCTCCGGACAAACACATTGTGCAGACAGTGGCAGATGCTTATGAGCTTCTGGGAATGCTAGATGAGAAAGAAAAGGTTGTGACCAAGTATAGCAACCTTCTTCTCGGTACATCATCTGATGAAAAATCAAGAAGATCTTCAAGGAAGAAAAAGCAACCAGGTAGGTGACGGTTTTACACATATCTTTAAGCCACTGACACTGAACTCATGTGCTTAAAACCTTTAGAGTCTTTTGCCCGACCACATGAGTTTTAACGGTTTAACTTGTGATTTCAGAACTCAGGATTCCTGAAGCAACCACAGAAGACGTAGTAGACGCAGCTGATACTGAGTTACAGGAAGAGCTAAAAGAAAATCTGGATAGCGACCAAGATTCTGAATGTGCCACTAAACTATCTAAGACATGATGCATAAGTTGTAGTATTTAACATATAAACGTCTTTTAATCGATGGAATGTTCATTGTCGATAGCTAGACATAGAAACAAAGCTCAGACCCCTTGGAATATAAAGATGTTTAGAGTTTAAGGTTCAAGTGCGGCATTTTACAGAGAAATAGGGAATTACGTTTGCTTGTCAAGGACGTAACAGCATAATCGTTAGACCGTAACCGAACCAGATCATATTTGAAATACGTCACATATGACATAACTAGACCAACTAAACATAACCATCATTCATTACGAATAGTTTTTGTTTCATGACCGCTTTACGATTAGTTAGGTTCTGGGAATTCCTGGTTTAATTTTTTTTTCGAATCAGCTAAAAATGTAATCCATTTTCTATTCATGTTGTTGCTCTGAAGAACGTGAAAAAATTAACTCATTTTCTAATTTAGTTTTAGAAAAATTTCTAATTCAGTAAAACTTTGAATCCATTTTTCCATTCACAAGTCTCTCTAGTAACAATTAATTTTGGTTCGGGTTTTGAAATTTAAATTGATTTCGGTTCAGTTTATATTGGTTTTGAGAAGAAAAAATAAACACAAGTCACGCGAGGCTTTTTGAAAAAGAAGCGAGTTTGCTTCAAAACAAGCGATTTGGTGGGTTAGAACCCACGGAAATAGGGGACACGCGCGCAACGCGCGCTTTGTGAGAGTGGGTGTAAAATAGAGCACTCTGATTGGCTAAAAATATTGAAATAGTAGAGGTCTAGCTCCTCCTCTCCTATGAATATTATTAGTTTTCCCTTTCTTGTCTCATATGAGTGAGTGAGTGACGTCTCTACTCGAGGGACAACGAACGACAATGTGAAGGTATTGAAACTTGCGTCGGAAAAGCTTTCGCGATGGATTGGTTCACAGAAACCAAACGGAATGGGAAGACCGAAGAGGAAAGGTTTTGGAGAAATCAATCGGACCTCCAAGGCCAAAGTCACCTTCCGATTTAGGTAAAACATTGAAATTAGAGTCTTTTTTTAACCGAACACGGAATGAGTTCTTGTAATTTGGTAAACCTTGTTAGAAGAAATAGGCACAATGTCAATGACGTAGTCCTCCTCAACTCTATGATTCCGATTTTAAGAAAAATGTTCTCATTTTAGATACAATTTTCCACTTTTGAGATTCTCTCTCACATTTACGAGTAGAGCTCAAACCCATCTCTTCACCCATCACCTCTTAGAAATCAGCATTGCTTTTATCACTCATTTTTATTAGGTAGATAGCTTTGCGTCCAGTTTTCTTATTTCTGCATTCGTTTCGTATTGAAATTGATGATATTTGCTTTTTGACTTTAAGAACCTCTTTGTCAATCACTTTATGTTGTATTCCTGATAACAGTTGAGCAACTGGTTTGGTTTATTTATAAATTCTGCCACTTTTCTCTTTCAGAGTTTTCTAAAATCTGAGCTCTTCTTGCAGCTAACTGTTGTTCACTCACTGATATACTACTTTTTGTTTTTGGTTAGTTTGGGAAGAGAATGTCCGGTGAAGATTTGGTGTTTGCTGTTAATGGAGAGAAATTTGAAGTCTTGTCAGTTAATCCTTCTACGACTTTACTCGAGTTCTTGCGCTCCAACACTTGCTTTAAGAGTGTCAAGCTCAGCTGTGGTGAAGGTAGGTAGTACACACACTATTATTTTTCCAATGAATATTGATAGCCTCTCGTGCTTTTATTTTGTCTATATCCCATTACTCTGCTTGAATCTGTAAATTCATATATAAAAGCTTCTTTTGTTCGAGGACCTGGATGATTACCACTTTTGTCTGCACAAATAGCAAAAGTCATGAATTTATTGTTTGAATCTGCAAACGCTTATACAAATTTGTTAAAATCTATGTTTGTTTTACTCCTACCTTTTTGGATCAATTTCGTTGGACTCTGGTTTTATGCCAATGCCACTCATATTTACGTGGATCAACCCACTTGTCTGAGAAGGGTCTACTAAACTGAGATGGGGCGAGGAACATGTTTTTTTGTCCTTGTTGAATATTTCTGTGTTCTTTTGTTGCCTGTTCTGCATTTTCAGTGTGTGTGTTTCTCACTGACTCAATTATATTTTTCATGCAGGGGGTTGTGGTGCTTGCATCGTAATTCTATCAAAATATGATCCTGTGTTAGACCAAGTCGAGGAATATTCTATAAACTCTTGCCTGACCCTTCTGTGCAGCATAAATGGGTGTTCCATAACCACATCCGAAGGACTCGGGAACACAGAAAAAGGGTTCCACCCAATTCACAAGAGATTTGCAGGGTTTCATGCCTCTCAATGTGGTTTCTGTACCCCGGGGATGTGCATCTCTCTATATTCCGCTCTTTCAAAAGCCCATAACTCCAAAAACTCACAATCTTCTCCAGAATACCTGACTGCTCTTGCAGCAGAGAAGTCCATTGCTGGAAATCTTTGTCGCTGCACCGGGTATCGTCCCATTGCTGACGCTTGCAAGAGTTTTGCTGCCGATGTCGATATAGAGGATTTGGGTCTCAACTCTTTTTGGAGGAAAGGTGAAAGCAGAGAAGAGATGATAAAGAAATTGCCTCCTTACAACCCTGATACAGATCTTGTCACTTTTCCGGACTTCTTGAAGGAAAAGATAAAGTGTCAACATAATGTTTTGGATAAGAAAAGGTATCACTGGAGCACTCCTGTTAGTGTCGCAGAGCTTCAGGAAATATTGGCACCAACTAACCCTGGCGGTGATAGAGGTTTGCTAAAATTGGTTGTTGGCAACACGGGAACAGGTTACTACAAAGAAGAGAAACAATATGCTAGATATATTGATATTAGCCACATTCCAGATATGTCAATGATCAAGAAAGATGACAGAGGAGTTGAAATTGGAGCAGTTGTTACCATATCTAAAGTTATTGATGCTTTGATGGAGAAAAATTCAACTTCTTATGTTTTCAGAAAAATAGGTGTCCATATGGAGAAGGTGGCCAACCATTTTATCAGAAACTCAGGGAGTATCGGTGGTAATCTAGTGATGGCACAGAGCAAAAACTTTCCTTCTGACATAACCACACTTTTGCTCGCTGCAGATGCATCTGTGTATATGATAAATGCAGGGAGATACGAGAAGCTTAGGATGGGAGAGTATCTTGTGTCACCTCCAATATTAGACACTAAAGCTGTTCTTTTAAAGGTTCATATTCCCAGCTGGATTGCATCTTCCACAACTGGTTTGCTTTTCGAAACCTATCGAGCTGCACTTCGCCCTATTGGAAGTGCATTGCCTTATATCAACGCTGCTTTCTTAGCAGTAGTCTCTCGCGATGCATCATCAAGAGGCATCATTGTGGATAAATGCCGGTTGGCATTTGGTTCTTATGGTGGGTATCATTCCATCAGGGCGAGGGAAGTTGAAGATTTCCTTACGGGTAAAATACTCAGCCACAGTGTTTTATATGAAGCTGTGAGGTTACTTAAAGGAATCATAGTACCCAGCATAGAGACCTCTTACCCTGAGTATAAGAAAAGCTTGGCCGTTGGGTTTCTCTTTGATTTTCTCTATCCTCTGATCGAGAGTGGCAGTTGGGATTCAGAAAGAAAGCATATTGATGGACACGTCGATCCAACAATATGTCCACCTTTGCTGTCATCTGCACAGCAGGTATTTGAAAGTAAAGAATATCACCCTGTTGGTGAAGCAATTATCAAATTTGGAGCTGAAATGCAGGCTTCTGGTTAGTACTATGCTGTTCCTTTTGATTGTGTTTAAATAAATTTATATTTGTATCCGTGTGAAAAGGCCTAAGCAGACGAACAACATAAGAACTTACATGAGTGTTTGTCGTTTCAGGTGAAGCTGTTTACGTTGATGATATTCCATCCGTACCCCATTGTCTACATGGAGCATTCATATATAGCACAAAGCCATTAGCTTGGATAAAGAAAGTTGGTTTTGTAGGGAATGTGGCACCAATTGGAGTTTTGGCAGTTATTACATTCAAGGATATTCCTCAACTGGGGCAAAACATTGGTTATGAAGCTATGTTTGGTACAGGGCTTCTATTTGCAGATGAAGTTACTATATCTGCCGGACAAATAATTGCTCTTGTGGTAAGTCCGATTTCTACCGTCTTCTTTTGTATTATAGTAAAAGTTTTAAAGAGAATAAAAAATACAGGATTCCTATATTTGCATGATTAAAAGATATTTAAGATTCCGCACAAGAATTATATTGCCGCTCGGCTAAGCGATAATTCTGAAAAGTGACTATACTTTCGATGGGGGCTGAATCAATAATTTCATTTTCATAATTTGTGATGTTTGCTTTGATAAGCTTCATGGGATGCTTAATCAACTAACCACTAATCATTCCCAGTCGATCCACTTACGAAAACAACTCTTGCATATCTATCATTTTTCTCATCTTCCTTACAATAATCAGTTCATTTGGTGACCTATTAGGTTGCAGACACACAAAAACATGCAGATATGGCAGCAAATCTTGCAGTAGTTGAGTACGATCTGAAAAATATAGGAACACCAGTATTGTCTGTGGAGGATGCAGTCAAAAGGTCCAGCCTTTTTGAGGTTCCTCCCGAATATTACCCTGAACCCGTAGGCGATGTTTCAAAAGGAATGGCTGAAGCTGATTGCAAGATACGCTCAGTAGAAGTATTAGAACTCCCTTTGACCCTTTCTATCTGTTCATCTCGATCTTTCAAAAAAAAATTCTAATTGATTCTTGTTGAATACGTTTATGCAGTTGAGACTCGGGTCACAGTACTTCTTCTATATGGAGACACAAACGGCACTTGCCTTGCCAGATGAAGACAAGTGCCTTGTGGTTTACAGTTCAACACAAGCTCCCGAGTACACACAATCAGTAATTGCTACATGTCTTGGCATTCCAGAGCACAACGTGCGAGTCATCACCAGAAGAGTCGGAGGTGGCTTTGGTGGAAAAGCTATAAAGTCTATGCCTGTAAGTACTATTTTCTTCGCTGAACAGAAGTCATTAGGAGAGTAACAAGAGACCTTCCTATTGTAATTTGATATTAATGCTATTGAAGATAATTTCAGGTTGCGACAGCATGTGCGCTTGCTGCACAAAAATTGCAGCGTCCTGTAAAGATATATCTCAACCGTAAAACTGATATGATAATGACTGGAGGGAGGCATCCCATGAAAATTACTTACAGTGTAGGTTTCAGATCTGATGGTAATATCACTGCACTAGAGCTAAATATATTTATAGATGCAGGGACAGATGTGGATGTAAGTCCAATATTGCCATTGAATATAATGAATTCCCTGAGGAAATATGACTGGGGTGCATTGTCATTTGACATCAAAGTTTGTAAGACGAACCTTCCAAGCAGAACGTCATTGAGGGCACCGGGTGAGGTACAAGGTTCATACATTGCTGAATCCATTATTGAGAATGTAGCATCTTCCCTGAACATGGACGTAGATGTTTTGAGAAGGATAAATCTTCATACTTACGAAAGCCTCAGAAAGTTTTATAAGCAAGCTGCTGGTGAGCCTGATGAATATACTTTACCTTTATTATGGGACAAATTGGAGATATCTGCAGATTTCAGGCGAAGGGCTGAATCGGTGAAAGAGTTTAACCTCTGCAACGTATGGCGCAAAAGGGGGATTTCTCGAGTACCCATCATCCATGTAGTTGTGCATAGGCCAACTCCAGGAAAAGTAAGCATTTTGAGTGATGGTTCGGTTGCCGTTGAGGTTGCAGGTATTGAGGTGGGACAAGGGTTATGGACAAAGGTACAACAGATGGTTGCTTATGGTCTTGGTATGATAAAATGCGACGAAAGTGAAGATCTGCTTGAAAGAATACGGCTTCTTCAGACTGACACACTCAGTATGGCTCAAAGCAGTTACACTGCGGGTAGCACAACATCCGAGAACTGTTGTGAAGCAGTGAGGCTTTGCTGTGGTATATTGGTGGAGAGGCTGAAACCTACCATGAATCAGATTCTGGAGAATGCTCGATCCGTAACATGGGACATGCTCATTCAACAGGTATAAACCTTAATTACTGATAATTCTTTGTATTTTAATCAGTTGTCAAGGAAAAAATTCCATATTTGAAACTGCAGGCGCATGCTCAGTCCGTGGACTTATCAGCTCGAGCCTTTTATAGGCCAGAGTCCTCTTCCGCAGAATATCTGAACTACGGTGTTGGAGCCAGTGAGGTGAATCTCATTGCCAATATTTGCAAGCATTCCCTAAGACAGAGTCAGTAATCCTCTGAATACATATATGTAAAAATGTGCAGGTGGAGGTTGACCTTGTGACAGGTAGAACAGAAATTATAAGATCTGATATTATCTACGATTGTGGAAAAAGCCTTAATCCTGCTGTTGATTTAGGACAGGTAAACTTGAGTTTTGTTTGGATTTCTGGATGTTCACTTAATGCTATATATAACAGGTTGGTTAATTGGCCTCTCTGTCTGTTTTCTTTGAGAAGATCGAAGGAGCGTTTGTTCAAGGAATAGGGTTATTCATGTATGAGGAGTACACAACAGATGAAAACGGGCTTGTGAACGAAGAAGGCACATGGGACTACAAAATCCCGACAATAGACACAATTCCCAAACAATTCAACGTTCAGATTCTCAACAGTGGTCATCACAAGAACCGCATTCTCTCCTCTAAAGGTTTAGCTGATAAGACTCAATGAGATTTATTGATCTTTTTAAAAATCTTGTTTCAGCTTCACATTTTGTTGTTGAGTCGAAATTGGTTTTCTTGCTCTGATGCAGCTTCAGGTGAGCCTCCGTTGCTTGTGGCGGCTTCTGTGCACTGTGCAACAAGATCAGCCATTAGAGAAGCTCGAAAACAGTACCTATCATGGAACTGCATCGATGGTGATCGTAGAGAAAGATGTGATGTTGGTTTTGAGTTGCCGGTTCCAGCGACTATGCCGGTGGTGAAGCAGCTTTGTGGCCTTGAAAGCGTAGAGAAGTACTTGGAATGGAAGACATTCCCTTAAATAAAACAGTCAGAGATCACCGAAGTATTAAAATAACACAGTCTCTCATCTGCTGTTTGTATCTACTACAGTAACCAATATTCGAATCTCTAAAATTAACATAGCACAACGCAACGCAAGTCACATCAAGCAAATTTGTTTAGGCAGTAAGAGAAGAAATATATATAACATGATTGTTGTAACGGTCACATATTATTACGTTACGTTGTTCAATCAAATTTCCTTTTTTGTACAGTGATTTCCTTTTTTATTGTAAAATATGATAAAAACAAAATAAAGGAAATTTACTTTTTTTCTGTTGACTTTGAGAAATCATAATTCTTCCAAGCCATAGAATATGCAGTACGATAAGTGAATAAATATTTAGTTTGCGCAAAGAAGTCGGCTCAGATATTATTTAGAACTATGGTAGATGATATTTTATATATTCAATTACAATGTTTAATTACCAAAAAAACAAAAAACTAATATAAGTAAATTGTAAGCCACACATCATCCAAGTAAAAATTCCTGTCCGTTATTGAAAGTGTGGTCGTTACTCGTTACCGACGCACCGTTGAATGAATCTACGGGAAACAAGAAAAGTCCAGAAACACAAAATTGGTATACACGTGATCATTTCATGGGTCGACCTACATATATATATAATTTAGAAAATAAGTTTTACTCCTATAATTCTTTTTGTGATAGAGAAATTTATAACAAACTTTAGCGACAAGTCATTTTCATAATCAGATGACTCATCCTTTTCCAATTTCCTAGGACTCAGTGGATTCATACGGGGTCCGTTGTGGAAAATTAAATACTATACTAACTAATACTAATAATCTCTTATTAAGCCTTTATAACCGTTGGTTAGAGACCTTGAAATCAAATTTACATAAATTACATTTAAAAACAAAAAAAACTCAATTAGAAACCTTGATTATAGTGGAAGACAACCTTTCTAGTTTGTACTTAAAAAACTCTTTCTATGAGTTTTGTCTTTCCTCTTTATATTACTCTTTGCTACACGCTTCTAGATCCCTCTTCCTTCAAAATATCAATTTTTCTTTTTTTTTTTGTCTTTTGATTTGTTTTCGATATTGAGAGATGAGAAAATCTTATTACGTCTCATTCCCCAAATCAACGATGCTTAGTGTTTGCCCCAAAAATTATATAAACACAATCGATACATACAAAGCTTGTGACTCGAAGAAGGATTCGTTTCTCTAATAAGAGCTAAAGCTTCTTCCTTTATCTCCTCCTCTGCTCTTTCATCTCTCTGAAACGAAGGAAAGAATCATGATAAATCCTTTCTTATCAATCCAAAAATCCTCAACCAAGTTCTTGGTACCACCACTTTCCTCCATTAACAGGCAACAACTAGAAGAGAGGCAGAGAAAGAACAATACCCTTTTCACGGTGGAAGCCAAACCAAGAAGAGCGACGACATTCGCGTGTCTCTCCATAAGGAGAAGAAGAAACAACAATGGTGTGTTTGAATCTGAAGACACGGCGAGGTTTGAACAATTGGGTGGTAAAGGTATCTCGCTTTTGTGTGGGCTAGGTTATTGGGTACAAGGATCAAGATGTTTCCCATGGCTTGCACTTAACTTCCATATGGTTCATAGCCTCGCACTCCAACCATCGACGCTTCAGCTTGTGCAATACTCTTGCCTTCTTCCCATGGTGGCCAAACCTCTCTACGGTGTTCTCTCAGACGTTCTTTACATCGGAAGTGGTCGTAGAGTTCCTTACATCGCCATTGGAGGTTAGTTTTAACAAAGTCTCTTTCTTTCTAGATGTGTCTTGTAATCATCTTTCTCTCTGTCTGTTGCAGAGACTTTAGAACTGAATATAGAGACCAATTAAAAGAAAACTTGCTGATTGTATCGATTCTGCTCCCTTTCAATATGTTCTAAAATCTTGAATGTGTCAGCTTTTCTGCAGGTCTTGGCATGGGGTTCAATGGGGATATTTCAAGGTGCTAGAGAATTCCTTCCTTCTCTAATAGCATTTGTCCTGCTAAGTAACCTTGGAGCGTCCATCACTGAGGTTGCAAAAGACGCTCTTGTTGCAGAATATGGTCTGAGATACCGAATCAACGGACTCCAGTCTTACGCACTCATGGCTTCAGCGGCTGGTGGAGTACTTGGAAACTTACTTGGAGGATATCTCTTACTCAAAACACCTCCTAAGATCTCCTTTCTTGTGTTCTCTGGTTTGTTGTCTCTGCAGCTTCTTGTTTCTTTATCTTCCAAAGAAGAATCTTTCGGCTTACCACGGATAGCAGAGACAAGCTCGGTTTTAGATAGCATAAAGAAACAGTTATCGAATCTGACGGAAGCAATTCAGGCGGATGAAATCTCCCAGCCTTTGATTTGGGCAGCAGTTTCCATTGCGATGGTCCCCCTTCTCTCGGGTTCAGTCTTCTGTTACCAAACTCAAGTTCTGAATCTAGATCCTGCGGTTATTGGAATGTCGAAAGTTATTGGACAGTTGATGCTTCTTGGTCTAACCGTGGTCTATGATCGATACTTGAAGATACTTCCCATGAGACCGCTGATCCATATCATCCAACTCTTGTACGGTTTGTCGGTTCTCCTCGACTTTATCTTGGTGAAGCAATTAAATCTCGGATTGGGGATCTCCAATGAGGTTTATGTGCTGTGTTTCTCGAGCTTAGCAGAGATCCTTGCACAGTTTAAGATCCTTCCCTTTGCAGTCCGATTAGCCAGTATGTGTCCGCAGGGGTGTGAAGGGTCAGTCACGTCTTTTCTTGCATCAACTCTGTGTCTATCACAAATAGTTAGCGCATTTTTAGGCGTAGGATTGGCTAATCTGATCGGTATAACATCAAGTAACTATTCAAACCTGCCTTCAGGGATTCTCATACAGTCTCTAGCAGCTTTGTTACCTTTGTGTTTCCTACACTTGGTGCCAATGTCAGAGCCTGTGATTGAGAAAGAAGGCAAAAGAGGTATAAGTAAAAGAAGCAGGAGAAACAGACGAGTTGGGAGAGTAGTAGACAAAGAAAACGTTACTTATCGACGGGAAAGAGAGTCAGAAGAAGCGCAAAGATAGCATAGTTAACAATTTAGAATAGTTGTATATTTTGTCAGTGTACTGTATTTTGTCAGTGTTTCTTGCGGTTTTTGTTTGGCAGTTTTGTAATGCCCATTCGCCAATATCACTGATTGTCAATCCAACAAGATAATCATGGTTCATGAATGTTATCTAAATTTGGATGCACACTGGCTCATATACTTGGAAACAGCTTCTGTAGTACGACTCCGTGCATTACATATCCAGAGACAAATCCTATTCGAAGATGTTGAATAATACTTTTCTTGGAAAAGCTAGGCACACCTACATTGTCAAGATTCAATGCTTCGATCTCCTTATCTCTAACCATTCACTAAAACTCAACATCGAAATCATTAAGTTCCATTGTTTCTTCTAATAGACATTCTTTCAAAACACTTGCCGGGCTTTCACGAAACTTTCCACAGCCGCTATAAAACTGTTGGAAACGAAACCAAAACTTAATACTTTTACCATAAATCATCCGCAGCGCAAGTACTTGATGCCCACTCGACTCCCTTTAACCATCTAGCGAAACAGAGAATAAAGGAACAATCTTTCACGTCCGTGAATATCAGCGATCTCATCACAAACACCAATTTCTCCTTACGCCGCGACAACAGACAAAACTCCCCGATCGCGAATTCAGAACATTCTGTTTTAGTTGAAGTTTTTAAATTACGCGAAAGAACCCCCGACTTTTACTATGTTTTACATCTAAGCCCGAAAGTTCGGTTTCAATTAAGATGGGACATCAACCAAACCGAACTCAACCCGGCCAAAATTAAACTGAAAGTTCGGTTTCACAAATCGCTTCTTCATCACTTCAATTGGATTTCTTATGAAACAGTTCCATCTGAAGTCTGTATATTTTACTTTATTCAACCTAAATTGAAAGGGGCGTCAAACACAAAAACATAACAAATTAACAAAAAGACCACAGAAGGCTCGTTCGTTTGTCAGATGGATAGAATTACATTATTACATAAACTTGGAAAAACACAAACTATAATTATATCATACGTACTTACTATCCAAAAGTCAAACATGATTTTTATATAACACAAGCTTAAAATTAAACGGCCATAGTAGTTCCAACACCAGCCTTGTGCTCGCCTGCAGTGTGTGGTACATGACCATGACCTTGCCCTGTAGCATAGTCTTGGTCTCTGTAGCCGGGACCATATTTGCTGCTAAGTGAACCAGCATGGATCAACATGAGGTAGAGCAGTTGCGTGAACGTCAAAATTATAATGAAGGCTTCAATCATCTTCAGTCTCCATCCTCTCCACCCTCCGATGTTTATTTGCTTGCATGCCAACCTTCAGTAACATAAACTTTGTTAAACTATATACCAAACAAAGTTGTGAGAAGATTAATTTGGCCGGGCATAAATAGAGTAGTTACCCCATGGCAAGAGCTGTGACGGCCCATGCAACGATGGAAGTAGACCCGGCAGCTGCAAGACTATCATTTCTCCAAAACCTAATATGATTAGCTCCGGCCAGCTTCGACGTAATCCCTATCACAGCCGCCAGTATCGAAAACGTCAAGAAGAAAGGCGTTGCTCCGTTGCCTCCAAAACCTATTACATTTTCGATATTAAAATTATTAATTAGTAATTAACTCGAGTAGACTAGTTTAGCTACATCATATACTAGAGAGAGAGAGAGAGAGAGAGAAAGCAAAGCAAAAAAAACTGTACTTGGGTGGTGGGTTTGGCCGTTGATGTATTTATTGATACACCAACTTGCAAAACCAAGCACAATCAGGTACATAACCAGATTCAAGAACAGCAATGGTGCTGCTATGTTTCTTCCCACTGTCGTCGCCATCAGTTTTTTCTCTTAAACTTCTCTCAAACCACTGTTTTACTCCTCTAAACGTTTCCTCTCTCTGATCCAACAAAATCTAGCTAACGTCTTCGGTGATGATGATGATCTTTGGAAGAGATACGGGGACATATATAGTTATATATAAACCGAGTCTAGGTGTTCTTTGGCAAAGAACACGTGCCATGCGAGATGGACCTTTGTGTTTAGCTGCTAACAGGTGGTGGGACACGTGTCGAGACGTTGTACCAAAGTGTTGGATATAGCCAGTGTTGTCACTGAGCTCGAATCTCCAAACCGCTTTCTTTTATACTATCCCCCTCATCTTTTTATCATATTAAATGTTCGAATCCTTACCATATATTGGGGTCATTTATTTATAATTATCCACCTGGAATTGATTAACATTTATAGCCACATGTTGGGAGAAATATTTTATTTACGTGACTAATATATAAACGCAATACCGAAATCTTGCGTGTAATAACAGTGTCGAAAAGGTTTATTTAATTTGAAGGACGACAAAAGAAAAAAAATTATTCGAAGAAGGATTGAGATAATACAGAGGAAAAAAATACCACCGAGAATAAATATGGAAGTTGTTAGTTTTTGTTTCATTTTATCTTAATCACGAACGCGTCGATTTCGAGTTTTTGATATATATTACGAACGAATACATTCGATTGCGTTACGGCTCTTCGTGGGCCTGTTGAGTTTGGGGCTTTGGGCACAACCGCATACGGAATATCCAAACATGCTCGCCACCGGCACGGCCCGCATGGCTGTTTTAGATTACATGAAAAAGATGAAGTAGCTAATAGACACAGAATCCAAGTAATAACAATGGTGATGATAAATGCCACAATGGTGAAGACTGTGGCGCTGCATAAGCACCAGACTATATATAATTAGGAACGGTATTGGATCGATTGACTAAAAATACTGTACACATTATAGTTTTTTGGTGTAAACAGGTTAACTGTATGAAACATTCAACATTATAGATCCTTTCCTTTCTTTTTCTTGCTCCTGTTTTTTTGACAGATTTTGTGTAGGTGTGTGTATTACACTTACATGATTTTTCATGAGACATAATGTTAAATCCTTTTATATAGCAGCAGCCAGATGATAATATGAGGATTAATTACTTATATAATTATGTTTTGATGGACGAAACTCCCCCAGTTTTCCCAAGATCCCGTTGCCTTGCTCGTTCCATTTTCCGCTTTCGCCATTCTTCCAATGCTGTGAAGATTATAAAGCATTTGTTACAGATCAAAAACCTTCATCATGTATTGTTTGTTTTCTCATCTAAATTTCACAACACAGACAAGAAGAATTGTTACTATATTGTACCTTTCAAGCTTGATGCGTCGTTTAGCGCACGGAAATCCTTAAGGCGTTTAGAGAGATCAACAGCTGTAGTCTGCTTCACTTCTTTCTGCTGCTCGGTTTCTTGTCCTGCGGCTGCCTCCTGCTCGATTTCTCGGACCTATCATTCAAAGAACATAGAGCCAAATCTTTAAAACTTTCGAAAGCGTATTGTAACTTGTAACTCTGTAATGCAATGGGAACAAGTGTGCTAACTAAATGTATAATGCCCTTACTCTTTTGATGAGCTCTAAAGGTTGCATCTTGAGCCTAAGCTCTTCAGCTTCCTTGATATACCGAAGCTGAGCTGCATTTATCGAAAAGGTATATATGTTATGTATGATAAAAGAACAAACTTTTAACAACCCAAAAATAAGACAAAGCTCTTTCAGTAACGTAGACACATGAACAATCTCTACAAGGTTTAGAATGTGACTCTTTAACAACTTTGATGTCAACAGCTTCTTCATCAAGTGTTGTAATTCAGCTTAATAGACAACAATCTAAACTCTCTCCAAATTCGATTCTTAGCATTGCAGAATCCATGAAGAGCAAAAAACCAAGTGATAAAATCGAATTCGAGAATTGAAGCGATACAGAAGCGTAATCAATAAATCTAAGTAAAGGATCCAGAAATCTAAATAACTGTACAACAAGTCTAAAACTTTTGTTGTTATGAATAGATCTGAGAAGGACCCATCACAAGATGATCCCCCAAGCACCAACCTTTTGATCATAATCCAGAGAAATTACGCAAAATCAGGATATACCCACTAGGAATCACGAGAAGTTACACAAGAGAGAGAGAGAGAGAGAGAGATGAAAAGGGGAATTGCAAGAAACCTGAAACGATGCGGCGAGAGGAAGAAGAGGAGGAAGTGAAAAAGCCCTGAAGGAGGAAGAGGAAGATGAGAACGTTGACGATAGTGAGAGCAATTGTGGCGTTCTTGAAAGAAAACCTCATACGCCATTGATTGTGATGATGATGATCCATTTTTCCAATTCCGACACCCAAACCTAAATTCTTGTCTTTAAGATTTCACAGAACTTTTTATGAAGAAACATGAATCTTCTTCTACAGAGTTACACACACAGGTCTTTGACTTTATTTCTTACCTGGTTGGACTCTTTAACTTGTTTTTTCGGCAAAAGACTCTTTAACTTGTAGTGTATCTATTTTCTTTTAGGTTACAACAATTTAACTATTTTATGTATCCGTATCCCATAGCATTTAATTATTTTGATTTGGTGAAGTAAATCCAAACAGTTAATTTCTTTTCTTTTTTTTGCCACAATTAACTTTAATTATATGAAAAATTGGTCACCATTTAAAACGAGTTATATTATAAGATGAAATCTATCATTATATATATATACTAGATTCGGACCCGCGCTACAGCGCGGGGGAAAATTACCGGGTTTTTAATCCTTTGTATGTTGCGAGATAATTTATTTGTGTTTGCTTTACTTTATTTTGATTATTAATTAAATTCTATCATTTTTAGATTGTATTTTTTGTGTTGGTTTCGAATATGTTCAAAATTATTTAAATTGTATTATTTTAGTTGGATTGTTAATTTTAGAACAATATGTGACATATATACATGTATAAATATTATACTATGAATCATTTTTAAAGTTTAGGGATTGACCCGCGGTACACCGCATAATCATAAATACATGATTTTAACTTGGACCTTTCATGCAGTTTTGTAAAATTGCAAATCTCTAGAATAAACAAATAAAGAGCCAATGATTTCTTATTTCTTATCGTGTTAAAATGTAAAATCTGTGTTTATGTTACAATTTTCTGGTAGCAGAAACTTATTTATATAGATAATATTTTCTTAGAGTTAGGTTAGCGTTGAAAAAAAGATTAGCTTTATAATCAAGCCATAAATTCGAGACTATTGCCAAATAAATATATTAAAGATGGTTGAAAATGAATTATCCCGTAATTGGTGTGAAGATCATAGTTAATATAGGAGAAAACTATACATCTAAT